GAGGAGGAGGAGGAGGAGGAGGAGGAGGAGGGGTCCAGACCTCTGGCCCGTGCCGCTGCCTTCCTGCCCCCTCCTCCGTGGCAGGTGCTCGAGCCCGGCCCCCACCAGGTCGGGGAGGCGTGGTGGCTGCCCCGGGAGGGCGCCAGGCCCGACGGTGATCGGAGGGCGAAATCCAGGAGGAGGAGGAGGAGGAGGAGGAGGAGGAGGAGGAGGAGGAGGAGGAGGAGGAGGAGGAGGAGGGAGGAGGGAGGAGGGGGAGGAGGAGGAGGATGAGGAGGAGGAGGAGAAGAGGGGGAGGAGGGGAGAGGGGGAGGGGACAAGCTAGGTGCGCTCGCGTCATATCTGACATCCTACCCCTCCCTCCCATCCCTTACCATGGCGTAGATCCCCTCTCTACTCGCACAGTCGGATGTTGAGCAGGGCAATGATCCCGAAAGGGTACGCGATGCATTGTAGAGCACGGCATGGCATGGCGTAGAAGAGCACCGCAAAGCGTAGTATGTCACAGCATGGCGTGGCGTGGCGTAGTGACAAATGGCATCACAAAGCTTTGCAACGCAAAGCATGGCATCGCACAGCGGCCCCGAACATAACATTGCATAGCATGGCGTTGAATATCAAAGCGTAGCATGACATAGCATGACGTGGCACTTACGCACTGGATATGACAGCTGCAGCTGAAGGCATGGCATCGCGCAGCGGAACGCAACCTAGCATTGCATTGCATGCCGTGGCATGGCACGGGAAATGACGCCAGCGCTGCAGCGGGAGCACGATTCGGAACGAGCGGAAGCGCGGAAATGAGGCCAGCGCTGCAGCGGGAGCACGATTCGGAACGAGCGGAAGCACGGAAATGAGGCCAGCGTTGCAGCGGCAGCACGATTCGGAACGAGCGGAAGCCCGAAAATGAAGCCCGCGCCTCAGCGAGAGCATCATTTTGAACAAACCCAAGCGAAACCCAACTCCGGGAAATCCTGTGTGTAAAAATCAGTACGCGGAGGGGTGCCCGCTATCTTCCGCACGCCGTCAGGGAATGGAGGAGAGTAGTATTCATATTGTGCAGTTGTGGAGGAGGAGGAGCCGGAAGAGGAGGAGGAGGAGGAGGAGGAGGAGGAGGCAGGAGCCGGGAGAGGAGAAGGAGGAGGAGGAAGAAGGAGGAGGAGGAGGGAGGAGGAGGAGGAGGGAGGAGAGGAGTGAGGGAGGAGGAGGAGGAGGGCGGAGGAGGAGGAGGGAGGAGGAGGAGGAGGAGGATGAGGATGTCCAGACCCCCTGGCGCTGTGAACAAGATCGCGACGGAATGTTTTTTCTTTGCGTTATCGCGTCCGTGGGCCCTGCTGGGCGCGGGACCCGGCGCCGTCAAAAGACGACCCAGACGGAGAGCAGGTACTTGGGGGACGAGGCACCCCCCTCCCAGGTCGAGACCTCTTTCAGGGTCGACGTTGCGAAGGAGTCATGACGTGGTGGGTCTGGGGTTGAGGGAGGAAGAGGCGGGAGGAGGAGGAGGAGGAGGAGGAGGAGGAGGAGGAGCCGGAAGAGGAGGAGGAGGAGGAGGAGCCGGAACAGGAGGAAAGAGCAGGAGGAGGAGGAGGAGGAAAAAGAGGAGGAGGAGGAGGAGGAGCCAGAAGAGGCCCAGAAAAAGGCCCAGAAGGAGGAGGAGGAGGAAGAGGAGGCGGCGGCGGCGCCGACGCTGCGAGGCGGGCAGGAGGGGGGTGAGTGGCCCGGCGCGCGTGGGTGAGTCTGAGCACGAGCGGGTGAGTGTGAGTGGGTCTGACTGTGATTGTCTATGTGTACGAGTGAGTCAGAATGTGATCAGCGAGTCTGGGCGAGGAAGAGGTGCTGATGAGGCAGTCCGGGTGCGAATGAGTGCGTCTGAGTGGGGAACAGGGGAATGAGATGAGTGAGTGTGTGATTGAGGAGCACAGAAGTCCAAAGTGAAGTCTGCCAGGCAGAAACCAGCAAACTGCTTGACACATCCCCGCACGTTTGGCGCGAATCCTGCAGTGTCCCTGGCGGCTCCCCCCTTGGGTGCCAAAGTGCCACGTCTGACATGCCGCGGTGAACATTGGACATACCAACTGGGGGAAGGAAAGAGGCAAACCGCCTGAGGCATCCCCGCAATCTGGGCATGAATCCTGGAGTGTCCCCACCCCTGGCGGCTCCTCCGGGGGGGGGGGCCCAAATGCCACGCCTGCTGTAGCGCGGTGGCCGAAATAAGGAGAAGTCTGGGGGGCTGAAACAGGCAAACCGTTTGAAACATTCCCACAATCTGGGCGCGAATCCTAAAGTGTCCCCACCCCTGGCGGCTTCCCTTTTGCAGTGGGGCGCCCACATGCCACGTCGGCTATATCGCGAGGCGCACTGGACCGCAAGGAAGAGAAATTGTGCGACAGAAACGTGCTAACGCTTGAGACATCTGGGGCCGAACGAAAGGGGGGATAGGGAAAGGGGGGGTACGAGATCTGCTTTCGGCCCCGCCGCCGGGCCCATTCCTCGATACATGGACGCCTCCCGGCGCCGGGAAGCGCTGGTTCTCTACCCTACCCTTCGCTATCCCCCCCTGTCGCTCTCCCCGAACATCCCCCCAAACGCGGGCGCGAATCTAGGAGTGTCCTCACCCCTGGCGGCTCCCTTCTGGGTGCCCAAGTGCTGCGCTTGCTGCGTCGCGGTAAGCATTGGATGGTAGGGTGGGCCTGGGGCACAGGGTTGAGCTGATTATTATATTTTTAAAGTTGATAGATCATCACCGCACACCAGACCACCCCAACCCAGCCCGAAGGCCCCGTTTGCCTTCCATTTCTAGTGAGGGGGTCGGGGCTCATGGAAAAAACATGGAACGCGCACCCCCCTGGAACCCGACATTCTGGCAACATTTGGTTCTTCGGGTTTGGTTGGGGTGGTTTGGTACGTCATCAGATTAAGTCCCGGACAAGTTCTTGAAAACTTCTGGGACACTTTCTGCTTTTGCATTCATGATATACAACACCTCAGGAGTTGGGGGTTTGTTTGGGGTCTCGTGGGGTGCGCCGCCGTCGGTTCCGTAGGTGTGCGGCGCAAGCGGAAGGATTCTGGTTCTGTCCCTTGCGAGAGCTCGCACACCGAAGACCTGGGGCCCCCCTTGAGCGCCCGCCGCTGCGGGGCGCCGACGGGCCTCCAGGCCTCGGCTCTGCCTCCGGCTTCAGGAGGTGCGAGCCAGGAACCGCGCACCTCTTGCGGCCACGGCACCACGGCCTTCGGATGGAGCTGGCGCGAGAGCTGGCGCCCGGGCTGTGCCTGCGCCGCGCCGCCAAGCACGATGATGGGACCGACGCGGGCCAGGTGATAGGGGTCATCAGTCGCGGGGTGTCCGACAACAGCCCCGGCGGGACGGCGCTCGAGATGGAGTACTTCGGACGACCGACCCGTCTTTCGCGTGGTGGTTGGAGTCCCACCGTGGTCGTGACCAGAAGGTTTATTTACACGTGTGCAAGGGACCGGTGAGCTCCTGCCTTGTATCGAGGGCCTCGAGCGGGGATCCCCGTCCTGCACGTGAGGGCCACCCAGCGACTTTCTCCAGCGGAGGGGGCTGACATCCACATGGCAATGCTGCGGGAGTGCGAGGACTGCCCCGGGCTGCCGCAGGACGTTGCTGCGGCCGCGATGGCCGAGGCGGGGGCCGAGCCTGTGCCTGTTGACAGCGCCCGCGGAGAGGGCACCGGCTTCCTCCCTCGGAAGCGCCCTGCGGCTGCTGACGGGCCGAGCGACCTCGTCGAGCTCAACAGCGAGGAGCTGGCGGACGACGAGGCCTTCGAGGAGCTGGAGCGCGAGCTGCAAGCCTTGGAGGGCAAGGCAGAGGCCATCACCCCCGAGGCGAAGGACGGCTACCACGAGCGCCTGGCCGAGCTGAGGACCAAGCTCGACGAGACCCGGCGACGCTGCGACCCTGAGGCGGCGGCGGTCAGCGGCAAGGGAGCTGGCAAGAAACGCTTGAAGCTCGGCGAAGTGATTCAGAGCAGGGTCACGGGCCAGATGCCGCCGACCGCGGGCACTCCCAGTTCCTCGACTGGGGGACAGGCTGGCTCGGATGAGAAAGCGGTGCTGCGCGTGCTGGCGAACTACCTTCTCAAGGAGCCTCGCGAACCCGCTCGACAGCGACGAGGAGCAGCTTGCTGGAGAGAGGCCCTTCGCCGCGAAGAGACTCGCCTACAAGCGCATCGCGAAGGAGGCGCCAGGCCGGTTAGCCGAGAAGGAGATGGAGAACATGGCCCAGTACCTGGACATAGACGAGGGGGACGACGACGCTTCTCAGGTCAGAGCCGTCGAGGTGAAGTTCCCCTTGAGGGTTCTGCGACCCGCTCACTCGGTTAAGGAGATCGGCGAGGACAGGTACATGGAGCTGCGGACGCTGTGCGAGTGTGCCGACCTGATCGTCAAGGGCAGGCCTGCGCCCGCGCTGGACTACATCTTCTGCTGGATCAAAGCGCGGCAGAAGGCGATCAGGGACGGCCGCGCGCGCACGGCGAAGTGGTTCCAGCTGATCCCGCCCGACAGCGGAGGCCTCAGCTTGTCGGTTGAGGACGAGGAGGTGGTTGCCGGCATCGAGGCGGCGGAGGTCGGGATGGCCCAGCTGCTGGGGAAGCTGGGCGGCCGCGGCTAGGACATCGGCCGGGATGGTGGCACTGGCTCGCCGCCTCATTCCGATGGCCAGCGCCGTGGTGGAGGCCCGGACCCCAGAGCCTTGCCGATGGCGGACATTGGCACGCCGGCTGCTGCAGCTGGACTACGGGATCGAGGTAGACTACGCCCTTCCGCTGGCCGCCAGAGTTTAGCGCTAGCCGAGCCGACGGTTCCGTAATAGGTCGCCAATGAACATCTGCAGGTCGGTTCTATGGGGATTTAGGAGGTCCAAGGCGCCCGGGGGGGCCCGACTGTAAACTTGAATCAAACAGTTTGCCCATCCACAACCAGCTGCAATACCTCGGGTAGGGTGGTCCACAAGTTGGACCTGGTCTCGGGTAGCAACGAGTCTCGTGCTGCTGTACTGGCCTAAAATGACCTTCAGGAGGACGCTGCTAAAACCTGTGTCGTGGGCCCCCTCAATCAGCTTCTGGTGATTGATGTCCTCGTAGTAGTTGCTGAGGTCCCACGGCGCAGCTCCTGAGTGAAGCAGCCTTCGGC